GAGAATGACTTTTGGGTTAGTTCATAATAGTTACTGCTTGCCCAAAGGGCAAGTTTGAAAACAGGTTTTCTTTAAATGATGGCAACTAATGTGGTAAATCCATGTACATGTACTGCATGGAAAAAAGAGGCTCTGATGAGAATGTACTGTGAAAAACTCTAGAAATTTGCATGAAGGACTGCCACCAGTCTTGTTATGGCCTGAAATGTGAACTTGCCTTTACAAGAAAAAATGTGACTCCATAGGTCTTTAACCCTCTGCACAACTGCACATACTTGTACTTGCCCTGTAATTCATCATGTCCAGAAACTTTCCTGTGTTCCTACACAATAATGAAAAGATAAACAATGTGTAAAGCTGCAAAAAGACCTACATGACTGGGCTAAAAAAAAAAATTGAATTTCAGCTTGCCCTTGGGACAAGTTGCTTTCCAATTTGCTTGCCCTGGGCAAGTCTTAGTTTGCTGTTTTAATGATTAAGTTGGCAGAAGACTTGCCTGATCCTTTGTCCATCAGGCAAGTGAGAATGAAAAGTTACATGCCCAGAAGGAAACTCTAGTTGTCCCGGACAACTGGAGCAAGGTAAGGTGCATGCACTTATAATGTTATGTTTCATATTTAATATGACCTTGTACATGTCACCACTACACAGTGGATTTACGGAAATATCTCACCTCTTTAATTTTCTTCTCAATATTCTTCGATTTGACATATTCCTTGGGAAGAAATTCTTTTAAGCTAACACAAGGAAAGCACAACAACTCCATGTTACTGACAGCAATATACAGTGCATGTGCAATGATAAGAATAGATTGTCAAGAGTCTCTACTGGTAAACAAAGCACTGAACTTACTCTATAAACTTGTATTTGCCTTCTTCAAAATCACCAAACTGGACCTGAATCTGAATAGCTCCGAGCTGAGGAGAAAATGAATTAAATGCCAAGATCAGTTTGGGCCCTACAAAGTAGAACAAAAGTGGACCAAACTGAGTTGACTAATGGAATTTTTATTAGATATCAACTTCAAGTGAGAAAACAAGAGTTGACTATCATGGAGGCTCTATCTAAATACTTTCATGATACACATACCTGTGATGCCTCCTCCTGTGTACATGGATGCGTTCCATCTAAAATACCATCTCTACACTGAGCAGGGAGAAAAAAATTATTATGGAAAATGCTTTACTCAATTATCTAGCTCCACCCACATGTACAGTTATTCTGTAAGTTGACGGATTGACTGACTGACCGACTGACTGATTGATTGATTGACTGATTGATTACATGTAAAAGAATTCATGACAGAACGACTGGACAACTGGATGACTAGAAGACCAGAAGACCGCAAGACCGGATGACCGAATGATTGGATGACCAGACAACCGGATGACTGAACGACCAGACAGCCAGACAGCCGGACGGCTGGATGACCAGCCAACTGGACCACTAGACCACTGGATGACTCAACGACTGGATGACTAAACCACCAGACGACTGGATGACTGAACAACTGGATTAAGCGACAACCAGAAGGTCCATTGTTGTACTGCACAAGTGCAGTATACATGATCAACTAATTGCTTGTTAATTTTCCAAGTAAAGCACTTTAACTGGACCTACCTGAACATACAACAAGCCGAGCTGGACTGGGTCCTTAATGTCAACATTTTGATCTGAGTAAAAGTACTTCCGTCTAGAAAAACATTCAAAGAAAGATCACTATAGACTAAACCAGTCTTCCAGTGCTCAGAATAACACTATTCACCTCTAAAATTATTATACATCTACTCAGTCTGAAGTCTACTATTTTTTACTTGGCTCTGATGATGGTAGAGAACAACAATGATTTGTAATGTTCAGTACAAATTATGGTTACCACTGTACTTGAGACATTCATTTGAAATTTAACCTGCTAAATGTAAGTACTGTAAATGTTTTACATGCGGTGGAAAAATCAACTCTTTTGCAACATACAATATTTCAAAAATTAAATACCTCAAAAGAACAGTGCATGTATCATCAACTCCTTGCTCTCGAAGAGTTTTGTCATGTCCAAGCCAGTGAACTTAAAAAAAAAAAGATATGCAGACCTACATTAAGTCAAGTATTTGAGATTAGAAACCACCCTGTACAAAAGCGTGCAGTGCAAGATTGAATCTCAATAGACATAGAACTAGAACAAACTAGTGGTCCACGTAATGACAAAGTTTTCTCATTTAGACTCTGGCATTTGAGAGGGCAATTAAGGAACATTACCAGATGATTCAATTTCCAGGAAGGCTAAAGAAAGGAAATTAACCATTTTGCCACTTAAAAGCCTCAACTCAAAATACATGTAGCTACAATTTTCAGACAACTCAATCCCTGAGTGATTTTGCTAAAGCATGAAGTTTAATAAGTACTAACAGTATATACAACAAAATGAACAGCTTGCTACTTCCAGATCACCTATACCTACATGCATGGAGGATAGAAAAGTTGATTCTATCAAACTTTTTGTCAGGATAAAGGTCTTTATTAAGAAAACTTGTTTCAAAACTGTAACATTGCACAGGTTGTTTGGATTTCCATTTTCTTGTTGAGTCAGCCTTTCTTCAGCCTCATCACTTGCCTCATCAACTATCACTTCACACATTGTAAAAATCTCAAGCTAACTATACTGTGATTGTTAACTAGAAAACATGGAAAATTCTGTACAAGACCTGAAAATTGATTAATACATTTACAAATCAACGACATGTACTGTACATGTCAAGTTTAAAAATGGACCTGGTACAAATTATTATAATTTTACCTTCATCATCTGTGTGGAGTTTTCTCTTCAGCTGATCCATTTTTTTCTTGTCTCTTTCCTCCATCTTTTTCAAGGAGACATCTTTCACAGATTTGTCCTGTTTTTATAAGATATAAGTAGACAAAACACTTTTAGTAGTGTTTCCTCATTTATTTATTAAAACCTATTTTAGGACCTTGTTCACCACGAGTCTCAACCTGCATGTGTAGCTCAGGTTCTACCAATGTCTAGAAGGACATATCACAATGGATTTAACTCCCATTATGGAGTCCGAAATGTTCTGAGTTATTCAGCTTTAATTCACTTCATCTTCATTTATTGAAGCAAATGTTCATGAATGTATGTTCCTGATAGGGTTCATCTGTAGCTGTACATGTATCTTTAGAAAAGTAAATGAGCAGTCAAAGCTGCACATACAGGAAACATGGATGTACATGTATACATAACACAATAATGTTTTAAGACAACACACCCGCTTTATCGTTCCCATTTTATCTGCATCTTCTTTGTCTTCTTTTTGACCTTCAACAAGCAGTGAGAATTCCTCAGTATTTGCAATACCTACAGAAAAAAGAATGCAAGAACTTGTCAATCAAAATGACAATATACGACAGTATATTTATTTAAAGACTTTGGCATGTATATTTCAGAAGCAACATTTGCTTGTTGATAATAAATCAAAAATGTACATACCCATTTTCATACAAACAGAGTCTAAAATTTGACCAACATTGTGACTGTCATCAATCTAAACAGCAGGAAAAAAACAAACAGAGAACCATTAAACATGCATGAATGCACTTAATGTAAGGCTGACAGTTGAGAATATTGCCTCAAAATTAGCCACAAAGAACATTCAAACTATACCATACAAGCAACTGTACAGTGTGTCAACAAAAAAATTTGGGGGATTGGCCTTCGGCAAACTCTATTTATGTTGTACTGGCCCGAAAATCATTTTCACTAAGCCCTAAAAAGTTTATCTCTTACAGTACATATGTACTTCTGTAATTTGAATTTCCTCAAAAAAATACCTTTTTTTAATTCTCAACAAAACTTGCATGCCCATCAAGCAAGTGATGGACAGAATCTAAAAGCCCTCTTGGAAAATCTACTAGCCTCCGGATATCAGTCAGGAATTTCTTTGCACACTGCTGTACATGTAAAAGTAAATGTACTATGCATGCATACAACATGCTGATAGACACAAGTGAGATGCTTTGCAGCAAAAACGCAGCAAAAAATGGCCCAGACAAACTAATTACCTGTAATGTTTTCACTGATCCATCCATGAATTTGATTTTTAGATGTCTAACTTTAGACTTGTAGTCAAGCATATCCTGAAAAGTTAGTAGATGAAATTATTTCCACATCTGACATACAATACGTACTTGAGCAGTGTATTATGGTTACAAGATATACCATCATGAATTACAAGTACATATACATATTAAGATATTTTACAACATAAAGGAATAACTAAATAATAATAGATAAATATAAATAAACTGGACAGGAAAAAACTTTTTTAATTCTGCTATTGTGTTCCTGTTCATTATTTTTTGTGCACAATCGTTGTAATTATTTCCACACTAAAAATACCACTTATTCAGAGTTTTATTAAGGGCCAAGCACTAGGCAAATTGACCAGTCATGACGACAATTTTGCCTGCCTGATTTGACCTCTAGAGGACAATCTTTCTATATTAGAATTTCAGTTGACATAGTTTTGCCAGCCTGTGAAAACCAGTTGCCCTCCTGCTGAAAACATTAATGGAACCTGTTATTATTCATCTCCAAATGCACTCTATACTTGGAAAACACTTGATGATTTTACGGTACTGCTCAGAAAAGATGCAAAGCTAACTCATATGCCATGCAGACAAGACAGATAAATTATACTGATTCTGAAGAATCCTTCTGATAGCACAGGGTACTGCATGCGATGAAAGAAAGCACTTAGTCTAACATTTGCACTGTAGTAATTACTTACACCAGACTTGAGCGGGTAGAAATCAAGGGTCCTGGCAGGTTCTAACCATTTTCCTTTTGATGGATCATCATCTTGACTAAATAACCCATAATCTGAAACTACACGGGAGAGCACTGAGATAATGGACCATCATGAATAATGCACTTTACTACTAGGTTGTTCTATGCAAGCAGTGAACTTACACCCATACATTGAAAACATGATTGATCATTACAGACTGAAAAAAATCAGACTTGAACGGGATTAAAATTCATGACCTCTGCGACAGAAATACAGTACTCTACCAACTGAGCTATCAAGCCAATTGGAAGCTGGCCACGCTATGAGTTCATAATATACATGTAACCATAGATAGTGAAGATACAAAGTGAATATATGAAAGGTTACATCTTTCTCTGCAGTTCAAATATATGACATTTCATATATACACTTGTATCTTCACTATCTACGGGTATATTATTTGGTTAGCAAATTGTATTTGTTTCTTGTGGAACATTATATTTCTGACATACACGTAGCAAAAGGTGCATGTCAAAAATGGTGAGCCTGAGTTGGTTCAAATGAAAATGTGATTGATTCAGATAAAATAAAATCTGACCCATAATCTAACCAATTAAATTGCACAATTCATCTAGACTGCTCAAGCAGCAGAAAAAAACAGCAAGGGCTTTTCTTAGAAAATAAATTAATTGAGAACTACACTAAGTATTTTACTTACTTTTGCCTGGACTAGATCCTGGAACTCTTTCTCTTATAATTCTCAATGCTTCTGCTATGGTAGCTTCTGGGTTGAACTACATATTAATAAAATGAATTTAATTTTCTCCCAGCAAGGATAAACTTCATTCCACATATATATGGGTTTTTGACCAAGCATGAGGTCAAGATGGCTGGAAATTTGCCAAGTTCATTTTTGCATGTTCATGGACCAAGATGAAGTCAAGGTCTATAAACATGCAAAAAAGAAAGAAAAGAAAAGAAAAAAAGAAAGAGGCCAATATCAAGCATCCTGACTGAACAAGCTTGGTCAATAAAGGATTTATTATACGGAAAAAGAACACTATTTTTACTTGCGGGGCACAGTGGGTATTCCCAAGCTGGCAAGACAGCGTAATCTTGCCCCCTTGGTTAGCCAATCCCAGTGCAGGATTATGTTAATCTTGCGCAGAGCTTGCTGTTCACTAAATTACTTACAATGACCAAAAGCCCTTTTCACGGTTACCTTTGCTCATGTACATTACCACAAAATCTAGCATGTATGTGAGGCAATTTTGGGCTATTTTGTAGTTTTAGCCCAAAATTGCCTCACATCCACGTTGGATTACATTGTAATGCAAATGAGAAAAATTAACCGTGAAAAGGGCTATTCCAGGATACTTTGTGTTTTACACATACTCTGTTCCTGATACGTGCAGTATTCAATACATGAACTGGTACAGCATAAACAGAAAACCCCACCTGTAAAGTCTTGACAGAGCTATTCTGGACAATGTTGATTTTCAGTGTCAGTGCCATGTTTAAATGCTGTGATTCCCTACTGGTCTATAACCTGAAAACAGTCATCATGGAATAAATATTCCAATCTCTTACATTGTTCATAAAAAAAGTTATCGAGTAAATATTCTTATGTTTTAATTCACAAAAAAAGATATCTTGATTTCACAAAGAGTTGCCAAAACAAAAATGTAAAAGTAATGGCTAGCTGGTTTTTATAATTCAAAGATTATCAATTAAGTTGTACTCTGGCAAAATTTGCACACATTTGGTGACATTTTTTATTCTGGATTCTTTTCTTGATAACTTGTAGACATCAAACGAGCAGTTTATTCTTTGAGTGCTTATTGCATCAAGAAAGTCAAAGGTTGAGAAAATGCTTTCCTCAACCAACTCACTCATTTGCAATAAATGTACATGTACATCGCATTAAAAACTTGCAAATATCAAAATACCATTCAACATGACAAGAAGTGTGTACAGGACTTTCTCTCTATCACAGTTTCTGCTGGGTACATGTATACAGCACACAGCACACAAAGGAAGGAACTCAAATTTTTTCCAGCTTGCTTTCTGCAACTAGGATATTTAAGTCCAAAATTCCACTATATACTGACAAAAAAAATATTTCTTCTTTTTGGAATTTTATCAGTTAAGAATTAAACAAAGACAACACTGCAATATCTTACAGTACTTCTATAATTGTTATGAATTTCCTTAAATAGATTGAATCCACTGGCTTGGCTACAAGATCCACTAGCCTGGGATAATGGACAAGGCTTTCTTTGCACACTCGGAACACTGACAGGACACAATACCAAAACATCCAGCAGACAGGTATGTTTGGATAATTCACAAAGATGCATATCACATTAATTTTCTCATTATAGCTTTTAAACCTTCTAATTGTGTTCAAACAACATGACCTGTCAGTCAGGGGTCAAATGCAAAATAGCGAAGCACAATCTGCCCAAGTTTGATCTATCTATCACAAATCATTTAAAATTAATTCAATTAAAATGGCCATTAGGCATTCTGCAGACCCTGCTACTCAAGTTAATTCATTCATGCGCATTTCTCGATATTTAAAAATATGTGAACAAGTAGAATCAAGAAGAATAGTAGCAGGGTATTCTGCAGTTGCTCTGAACAAAAATATATTTCACAGAAATACTTATCTGTTGTTTCTGTATTAAACTCTAGTTACCTGACCTCATTAACAACATCTGCTCGTAAATGCAATGGGTGAGAATTGCGTTTTGCATTGTATTCAGTACTAAAGCTTTTAGCTAAAGTTACATAAAACATACACAGGTTATCAGATTTACCACATAGCTATGCAGAGCAGGTTTATTATCAAAATCACATCAAATTACAGCAAAAGATGGTAAACACAGTTGTAATATATGAAATACATGTGCAAATGTAACATAAACACTTTCAATTAACACTGGAAGGCATAGCAGCACAAACTACGCATTAGGCCACGAGTAAAGTTGTTCTCAGTGTTATGCTACTAAAATTAGCTTTGAATGTATCAAACTTATATTACAAGCTAACATTTGAGAAGGCAAATTGAATAACGTCAAGTAGACTTTACGGTCACTCACCAAAAAATTCGACTTCTGTTGTCTACAAAATAAACTCTAAATGGAACCATCATTAAAATTTTAGAATTACAAAAGTGCTGAAGCTTCGGTAAAGTAAATGGGATAATTTTACAGATTCCCAAGGTTACATGAATTGACAGGTACAACGTTGGCTTTACAACCAACGTAGAACGCCTCTATAACTTACCAAAAATAGTAGATGAAAACATGAAAGTTAAAAGTGAAAAATAGTGACTAACAAAGCTGCAGTCGATAGTTCAAGTTTCAATATTAAGCCAAAACAAATAAAAATTAAATTGGGCTCTAGCTGAGGAACTGAAGTGAGAGCTGAACTTCTGTTGAAAGAATGATTCCGTCATACAAACAGCTGAGAAATTTTCTTGAGCAAAATCATGATGTTCGATCATGCCTATTTAAGTTACACTAAAACAAATCCATTCTACGATATCTTAAAAGAAAAATAAATATATATTTACGTTCGTTTAGGAAACACTTGATTCTTCTTTGTCATCGTAGCAGAACAAGCAGACAAACAGCTGAGCTCAATTTCGAAATGCTATCATTGATAGTAAGGCTTAAAGCATGTGCATGTCTAAATTAAGCTTATTTTCACGGTTCATAAACATGCATGCCTTTACTGTGGAAGTTTATGTGTCGTTACTTCGCTCAATATTGTATGATTTAGCTAACACGACTCAGTGAGCTCAAGCTGCAAACTGGCAATTGCTTGATATCGAGCACGCGCTCGTAAAATATTTTTTTGAAAAACCAGGCCTTGTTTGAGGAGAATGCCTTCGACACTTCACTGGAATGAAATTCCATAACACAACCAACAATAACGCGAAAGGAAAAGAGCACTTACCTCCAATATTTTGTCTCAAATGCGAAAAATATGCAAATCTCTTCCCAGATAATAGCCAAACTGACTAATTTTACACCTCCCAAAGGAAGAATTTCAAAGACGGAAATACGACATCGAGCTTGGGATCAGAAATGGCCGCGACTTCGTGACCCGCGGGCGGCAACCAGAAATGCCCATATATGGTATGCAACAATATCGAGAATACTCGAGCAAATCCGACGAAAGTGATTCAAATTTGCCCCCAAATCCGGACATCTGCTTTGAAACGGATGTTTTTTTTCTTCCACCATTTATTTACGAGGTCTGACTCAAARAAATTAACATTTGAATTCTTTTGTTTTGCTTTTCTTTTTTTCTAAATACTCCTCTGTGGGAATAAAAGTCACATATTGTGGTGATAAACAGCGTTGGATCAAGGGGGGTACCCATGGGGCCCACTGCTCCCCCTTATTTTGGGTAAAAAAAATCACAGAAGGAAGAAAAGCCGGCAAGGTCTGGATCGCCACTGACAAATATGACAAAACAACACATGTTGTAAAAAACTATGATTTTAAATTTGATGTTTCGTATGCTTCTACATCTTCAGAAATAGCCATTATGCTAAAATGTGGTAACTAAATTTAAGTATCGGTGAATGAAAGACTGGCAACAAGTAAGGAGAAAAAAATAATAGATTTGTACCCTGTATATAGCCTAGCTTCATAATAATAGTTATTGTATTTAACAACCAGACTTCCGTACACGAATTGGTCATTTAACTTTTGTGGCCGTGAAAACACAACCAAAACAAGAAACATTTTTTTCTTATTTGGAGGAGATACAAACATAAGAAGTGAAAACAGCTAGGGAAGCAAATGTAGTTACCTTGGCCAGGGTCAGTGATTTCTAAGAAAATGGGTTCATCTTTTAGCTGGCTTCATGTTTACTCCTATGGGGAGCCACCAAACATGGATGTTACTAAGAGGATACCAAAAGCATTATCAGAATCTTGAAACTTACGAATTGGCCGCCAACACATTTTTTCTATTATATCATCCCAGGTGTGATACGTCACATGCACAACCTTTTCAAGACTTTCAAGGCAAAAGCCACAAATTATGAATACTTCTTTAAACCATGACTTCCAGAATTTAATCTGGACTAGTGCTATATATTATGTAATAAAAGTTCTAATCAGTACGAGGCAGTAACAAAAACCATAACGACTGGAAAACTTCTCTTGGAGATGGAGACAGGGATCGGTCTGGGGATAGATGCCCCAACCAAAACACCCTATAGCATGGAATGGGATTCTCTCATTCAAGATAAAAAGCAAAGAAGAGAACTTGTCACTCAGAGACGAAGCAGCTCGTCACTCAGAGTCGGTTATGGTGAAAAGGTAAAACCCTAAATTGATTGCCCAAAGTAAACTAGTTCCTATTCCACATTGTTACATAGCTGGAGTTTAGTTAAATCTAACATGGGTTCTTGCTGGTTCTAATTAATCAGAAGTTACTTTCACTTTATTACTGTAACTTTTGTAAACTAGTTTTTAGCTATTAAGATATGATTGATCATCACAGTTACACACACAACTTAAGCAGTTGTGAAATTAAGGCCTGAAAATTTAAGGCCTGAATTCTTTTCAAGCCTTAATTTCACAACTGCAATGATCAATCATATCTTCATAACTTTCTCTGCAGTTCAAATATATGATCTTTCATATATATATTCAGTTGAATTCTTTACCATCTATGGGTTTATCACGAACTCTCAAAATGACCAGCTCCCAGTTGGGTCGATAGCTAAGTTGGTAGAGCACCGCACTGTTATTGCAGACGTCATGGGTTCGAATCCCATTCAGGCCTGAATTTTTTTGAGGCCTTAATTTCACAACTGCTTAAGTTGTGTGTATAATTGCGATTATCAATCATGTCTTCATATCTTCCTGCACTCAGATTTGTGAAAACACACATGACAACTTAGTGAGGTACACCCATGTATGTGGAATCTTGCACAACCTGTCGAATGTCTGGTTTAGGCCAGTTTTGCTAACTGTCGCATTTGCTACTTTCAAGCTAGTTTGCCACAGGTTTGCTACCCACAGGCCAAGGTCACTACGTCAGCTAACTGAGTTTGGCTTGGCACTGGATGAAAGAACAAGGAATAATCTATATGCTCACTAAATCTTGGGTCAATATATTTTTTGTTTTGCAAATTTTAGTTTATTGATAGTGGCGAACATGAATTAAATAGGTTGGCATACTGGAAGTTGCAAGTAGCGAACTCGATCATAGCAAACTCAACAAGCAGAGAAACTGGCTGTTACTGAATGTCATATATAGCAGATTACTATACCTGATAGTTGAGTTATTTACTATTGTGGCAATTATTTTACTACAATGCACATGTCACTGGCTATATCGAACAGAATTCGTTCCATATTTCATCCCCTGAGATCATTTTCTTGAGCTAAAGCGTGGATATAACAGTACTTTTCTGCCAAGTCCCTCCGTAGAACAACACCATGGCATAATCCTGCCTCTAAAGCCTCATATGTTGCTCGAGCTCCACTTCCCTGCTTCCATAGCAACAGCACATTATAACACTTCTCTACAACTTTACGATTCTCCTCGTCTACAACCTCAATATTGGCTTCAGGTATTCCTAAAGCACGAGCTAGATTCTTCCATTTTGCTCCGAGCTCAGAAGACAGATTAAGGAGCTCTGCTTCTGAAGGAATTCCGATTCTTCTGTGCATGTTTTAACGACCTCCAAATCTCTGATTACTATGAAACAAGATATAAGATAATTGTCATAATATGCCTCAAGCTCATGTACTTAAACTTTCTTATGAACTATATAAGTTACTTAGTTTATAGCCTGTGCCACAGCCGCCCTAATCGTGACTGAAAAAAAGGCTGTTATTAATTTAATATTCAGCTTGAATTTGGTTCAGCGAAAAATACATAAGGCCCACAAAGTTAGATTACCTGCCAGTTAAAACTGAATGTCACAATTTAAAAGTACCCTCAGTAGCTTGCAAACGTATTATACTTTATGCTGGTATGCAACGAAGTTGTTAGTATTTGATCGACTCAATCAATACTTTCCGCCATCTTGGATACAAAACTCTTCTCTCAACCAGACCTCTCCCCGAAAAGAATATAGGAGTGGTCTTTTCTCCGCGAAAGACTAAGCTCCAGCGCGGGAAGCTCTCCAGTGGAGCACCATGGGTAAGAATTTTCTTTGCATACTCTGGGGGAGAGGGAAAGGAGTGTCAAGGAAACCCAGGGCTTTTGGGTGAGCAGCCCACGTTTTTCCGGCAGGAAACAGCGTGAAAATTGCATTAGCCATCTAAGCGAAACGATTGTTCCCGAAAACAGAAGTTTTCCATCCAAAGAAGTAAAACTTCATTTCTGTTAATGTTATGCCACAGGGAGCACACGATTTTGTTGAGTAGGAAGAGAGTAAGTTATATAGGAATGAAAAGAATGTACAATTTACCTTTGTCTCCTGTTGTCATTTCTTACGCGACAACCGCTAACTACAAGTCCTGCGTGACACTGTAGCGCTAAACTCGTACCTAGGCCTTTTCGCGCTCTACAATTTTTTTTTTTTNATATTGCGTACGTAATTTCTACAAACTTGGTTAGGTTCATTGTGTGTAGTTTGTTACAATTTAACTGGAAACAATAGCAAGACCACACGCTGAACAATTACATACTCACAATTGATCATTTTTTGAGTTTCTGATCCAAGAAAAACTAATTCCCTTTTCCCGTATGGTCAGTTATTGCAATCAGGAGCTCCGCTTTTAGGCTTGGCTAAATCTATATATTAATCATATTACTCACGCTAAAGCGTGATTTGAATATTATTTTTGCTGACGGCTTTGCAGTCAAATTATCGGCCGTAGCATTACCAGTCTTTTACAAGTAACCTTTTAATAATGAAATTCACCTAAGCATTTCACCAAACCGAATAAACTGAACAATCGAATCGAGGAAATCTCCACACTTTGTCAACACGATATGCAAATCACCACGTACTAGCGTCAAATATGAACTCCTGTTCGCTTGTAAAGCATAAAACGGTTTCTTGACTTTTTTTGGGTTTCAACCGCAACAGAAGATGAGTCAACCCGGTAGGTTACTCCCTTATATGGGCTCTGTAGGTATGTGCGGCCCCAAAGGGTATAGTTTTTAGCCGTTTTTGGTCAGAAATAGAGTATCGATTTTGGCCATTTTGGTCTCAAATAGAGTATGGTTTTTGCACTCTTGTTCTGAATTGAGTATGGTTTTTAGAAGAAGCTATCCTACCTAGTGAAAGCATATAAACATTGCCTTTAACATTGGTCTGAACTAGGGAACTAATTTATCAGGCAGTCTGAAACAGGGTATTGATTTAAGGGCCACGTCTTAAAGAGCTAGTCATAGCTTCAGCGCACTTCAGTAACTTTGAACATAACCGGACCATTATTTTTAAGATTCCAGCTATGAAATTGTTTTGCGTCTCACTTTTCGAAGTCACTCTCATAATAGTTCCTCTTTATTTTGTCTAGGATACTCATAAAAGCTGTGAAGCTTTAGCTTTGAAAGGCGTTTTACCTTTTACCCGCCGTTCAGGCTGCTTTGTCAACTTTGTATACTTAAACACAGTCCATATGTCAGTTGACACCCAAATGAAACAAATACCTTGCTGTTCTTTTTCTTTTGAATAGTTTTTTTTTATTTTCACGATCTTGGAGGTTTTATATTATTTGGCATACATAAAAAGCCCTAATTCAAATTTAACCCCTTCGTGCTATGAACAAGTTTAGTTTGATTTACCATCCATTAGTGAACCAGTCCATTTGTATCGGGGCGTTTCTACCACGTCCTACTTGTTAACACTCTTACCTTGTCCACGTTTAGACCTAACATCAGTATAGCAAACGCACAGAGTAAAGGTTTCTGATTATTTTTTTGGCACATGATGTACTTAGCAGGTACAATGGGTAGGTCCGAGGGTTGCATGATCTCAAAGAAATGTTTGTTGCAAATAACAAAGAACAACCGACAACGTTAAAAGTAGTTGGAAGGCACTAACTTTATTCCAGAGTTTTAACAATAAATGTTTTAATTATTAATGAGACTTTTCTCCAAAACACTGACTGTTCGACTTCGGGGTAAAGAGGGCTTTGCCCGA